TTCCTGTATCATTTATCGTCACATTCTTCAGAATCAGAGACACGTCTCCATCCTTCATCTGTCTGTCCTGCAGATCCACCCGGTTCTTAAAGGATGGATTCTGCTGGTCTAACTCAAAGCGACCATCTCTGAACAAAAGAACATTTTCTCCATCCAAATCATGTTTGCTCCACTCCACAGCTAGGATCTTTGTCTTGTTTCCAATTCCACATAGCAGAGTGACGTTCTGTCCAGGTTCAGCTCTTTTGTAGATTCTCTGTCCTGCAGAGAGGAAACAGCACAGAGCAGAGGGTTACAGAGCTCAGAGTGGAGCTCTGCCCCTCCACAGCAGAACCAGAGGGAGAGCCTGCCACCGCCCCCTGCTCTGCTGGAGGGTGCAGGAGCTACTGTTCCATGTCCATGTTTTCTTTTTACTTCGGGTAAACTTAGCTGTTTAAATATTAGGAAGAAGGAACTGTATCAACATTACATTAACGTTTACTACGATACAAATGAACATATGTAACGTGGGCTGTAGTGAATTCATTTTTCAAAATGATGTCTTGTTAATGGAGCCGTTTTCATTTGACGAAGCTCGAAAATCTACCGAGATGACATGTTTATGTTTATGTTTATGTTTATGCATTTGGCAGACGCTTTTATCCAAAGCGACTTACAGAGTAGACACAATATTACATTTCTCATCACAATGACAATAAACTTTATAGAACAGAAACACTGATCAGAGTCAGTGGTGAGATAGAGATAGAGGTAGAGGGGCTACAGAAGGAGCTGTGGGGGGGTAGAGGTACGGGTTAGGGTTAGGATAGGAGATGCTCTTTGAAGAGGTGGGTCTTCAAGAGTTTCTTGAAAACAGACAGGGACTCTGCTGTTCTTGTGGAGCTTGGTAGGTCGTTCCACCATCTTGGAACGACACATGCAAACAGTCTGGATTGTCTTAAGCGTGGTGAAGGCACTGCTAGACGACAATCCATTGATGACCGGAGTGATCGAGTTGTGACATAAGCCTTTGCAAGGGGATTCAAGTAGATGGGAGCCATACCCTTAAGCACTTTGTAGGCTAGCATCAGGGACTTGAATTTGATACGGGCAGCCAGAGGTAACCAGTGGAGTTCAATGAACAGAGGGGTGACGTGAGATTTTTTGGGCAGATTGAAGACCAGACGCGCCGCCGCGTTCTGGATCATTTGTAAAGGTTTTACTGTACAGGCCGGGAGACCAGTCAGGAGTGCGTTGCAATAGTCTAGGCGGGAGATGACCATAGACTGCACCAGGAGCTGGGTAGCATGTTGTGTTAGGTACGGCCGGATCTTTCTTATGTTTAGTAATGCGAAGCGACAGGATCGAGAAACAGAGGCAACGTGATCTTTAAAGGTCAGCTGGTCATCAATCATGACACCCAAGTTTCTTGCTGCCTTTGATGGAGTCAGAGACAGGGATTCAGTTTGGATGTGAATATTGTGGTGAATAGTTGGTTTGGCTGGAAAGACAAGCAGTTCAGTTTTTGAGAGATTCAGCTGGAGGTGGTGGGCTTTCATCCATTTTGATATGTCAGAGAGACAGTCTGAGATGCGTGCTGAGACCGAGTGGTCATCAGGTGGGAATGACAGATAGAGCTGTGTATCATCAGCATAGCAGTGGTAGGAGAAACCATGTGATTGAATGATCTGGGCCAAGGAAGTGGTATATATAGCAAAGAGAAGAGGTCCAAGTACTGAACCTTGAGGAACCCCTGTGGCGAGGTGGTGCACTGCAGAAGTGTGACCAAGCCAGGATACTTTAAATGATCGACCAGTGAGGTACGACTCAAACCAGGAGTGTGCTCTCCCTGTGATGCCCATACTCGAGAGTATAGACAGAAGGATGTCATGATTGACTGTGTCAAATGCGGCTGATAAGTCAAGGAGGATAAGTACTGAAGACTTGGCATTTGCCCTTGCCTCTTTTAGGGCTTCTGTCACAGACAACAGAGCCGTTTCAGTGGAGTGGCCACTTTTAAACCCAGATTGATTTGTATCAAGGAGATTGTTTTGTGAGAGGTAGTCTGTGACCTGCTTAACATTGTTAGCTAACGAGCTAGTATTAGCAACAACAAAAAAAAAAACAAGCACCTGGAGAGACAATTAGCTCACGAAGGGGGGCGTCGTTGACAGGCCATTAAGCAGCCAAGTGGAAACATATCTATATATATATATGTCTATGGTGTAGCTACACAGAAACGTCAAAAGACTCGTTTATTAGTCCAACGGGAGCGTGACGTGGCCGTTTCATTCAAAGCTCACAGGCCGCCATCTTGGACACCTGACCAGGTGTTTTACTTTTTTACGATTTATACAAACAGCAGAAATTAAGTTTAATTTCATCTCAGGATAACTTTTGTTTTGATATCGGTTAAATAAAAATAAAAAGGCCCGTGCCGTTTAAAAAGTGTCCCGTTGCGTCAGGAGCTACGCTCCACGTAACGTGCTCGTACTTTCTAGAACCGTCCACATAGAAACAGGGCGGTAAGTTTAAAAAAACATGTAAAAATAAAGTCTATTAGCCTCTCACCTGTACACATAAAGCGACAACATGTACGGTTTCTTAATAAATTTCAAAGGATTTGTTTAAGAAACCCTTTGGATTTCCTTTGGATTTGTGGCCATTAGCTAAGTATGTGATTATGATTACACCCCCCTTTTTTCACATAAGGTGAGCAGATCAAATCACGTGACTGACTGAAGACTCCAAACTTTTTAAAGTACTTATTTTAAAACTCACCACTATCGAATGACAGGGCCACTGGGAGAACACACGTTAACAACCACATCTTCTCTCACTCACTTCCGTTGAATGCACAAGTTACCTGGGCTAATATCTTTAGTCCTTCCCCCCTCTCCCCTCCTCCCCTTCCCTCTTCCCTCTTCCCTTTCCTCCTCCCCTCTTCTCCCATAGACATACTGTATATACATATATATGTCTGTCTTCTCCTTCCCTGCATATGTTCGCTACTTCACACCCTGATTCAGTGGATTAGCTGTTAGATCCTCATATAATCTGATATTTACAGCTGTATGACATCCTGATTCAATAACAGATTAATTTACCATCTGGAAATGTATTTATCTGCTATAGTTTTTTCATTGGCTGATTTTTTTACGCACCTGGATAAAGTCAGGTTACAGCCAAAGTGAGTGTTTGTATTTTGTTTCAGCCTTATGGAGGCACCGGTGCTCAGACTTTAGCTACACGTCCGGTGATTGCTTGGAGGTGGTCTCACCTTATCTAGCAGATAGGGTTCACCCAACAGATACAGGTGAGGGTTGTTTTTTGCAGACTTTTTTTTTACTCTCTTAATTATTCTTTTACTTCTAGAATTGTTATTTTGAACGTCCTTTCACAGTTCTGATAAGTGATGTATCTGCGTGATTTAACCAAAATTTACTGTAATATATTTTTAAATAAATACACAATACACTTTCCATGATATAATAAAAAAATACGTGGCAAAATAGTTCAGCATTTTGATCATGGATTGAGCTGTTCCTTTAATGCCAGGATTGAACAAGCTTGTTATGTTATGTTTTTATGGGCTAACCTTGCTAGTAGGCATCTTGCCTACGTTTGATTCACTTCAATTAGTCTTCCTCCTGCTCCGCCCAGCAGCTGTATCCAAGAAGACGTGTTGTCCGATTCCAAATCATCAATGATGATTTCTCTTGTCCCCAACCGGCCAAGGCAGATGCCCCCCCTCCTCTGGTTCTCCTCCAGGTTTCTGCCTCTTAAAGGCAGTTTTTCCCTCCCTGTGTCTCCTAGTGCTGCTCTTGGTGGAACTGTTGTTCTTCTGTAAAGAACTCAGAGTCTGAGCTGCTCTGTTTGGAAAGCTGGGAGAGAACTGCTGTTGTGATGTGGTGCTATAGAGATAATATTGAATTGACTTGAATTGCATACATAAAGTTAACACATCTGTGATTAACTACATGTGTGCTATTCTGGCAGCGTATGCTGAGCTGACAGAGCCCCGTCTTCCTCCACAGTCCTGAATCCCCACAAGAGCGGAGCTGGAAACCTGTGCAGGTTCAGCTGGATGGTTTCTGGATCCTTTTTGTCCTCAAACTGTTCATTTTTTTCCTGTCTGTATACACTGATTTCCTTCTCTGTCCCCGGGTCTGCTGAGTCTGGACTGAGTGTGTTCCTGTCTGGTCTGAGATCAGCTGGAGGCTTCCTGCTCTGCTGGTTAAACTCTGACAGAAACCATCAACATCTGAGCCTCTGACCACACCAGAGTCCAGAGAACCAGAGTTCTGCTGCCTCTCCTCCAGAATGAGGTTCACTTCCTGGATCAGCTCTGTTCCAGCAGCCATCTGGAGGACAACAGCTGGAGGACAACAGCTGGACTATCTGCTGCCATTCAAAGCCCTGAAATGCTTCAGATAAATGGAGGAGCTTTAGCCTGATGAAGACCCAGCAGGAATAAAAAGGACTTGAGGAGCAGCTGTGACACTGAGTGGTGGAAAAAAGTCTCACACACAGGTAAAGCTGAGTGTCATCAGCATAGAAACTGAATAAATGTATGAATTTAAACCCAGACATGTAGAGAGACACTAGGCAAAAAGACCACTGAATAAAGCTGATAGCTACTGAAAGCATTAGAATATGAGAGCATCGCCTGAACAGGGACTTGAACCCCGGACCCTCAGATTAAAAGTCTGATGCTCTACCGACTGAGCTATCCAGGCTCTGAAGGAGGGGTGAGGACTAGCTCTTCATACTGTAAAAATATTTGAGAAGAGCTAAACATTTAAACTGGTGGTCATTTTGTTCTCAGAGCGACTCAGAATGGCCTCAGAGGTTAAACGAGCCCTTCACGTCTCACCTGCTTAAAGTTAAAGCTGAGTGTCATCAGCATGGAAACTGGAGCAGCAGCTTTTCATCCAGCTAGAAGTCTCTGATTAAACCAGACCGATCTGCCTTCAGCCCCGGCTGTCACCACCAGGGGGCGGCAGAAGTGAGGGGGAGCTCAGACCTTTGTGGGAGAAAGTCCAGGCCAAGACCAGAAAAAGAAGGTATGCGTGCATGGCCGTGCAGACTAATGTGTGCGTTTGTGAGGCTGCCAGCCTTGTTTGTGTGCCAGTCAGTGTCCGGACAAAGGCTCCACCCAGCCGTGCAGCCCAGGGCCGCTCGTTCCCAGAGACCCCCGAGCCTCCGCAGCCCCTCGCAGCAGCAGCCCCGCGCGGACCCGGACCCTCCGCGCCCCTCCCACGTCCTGCTGGAGCCCCGCTCGGATCGCTGGTGGACCAGAGCAGCCCCACAGGGAGACAGCCAGAGCCCCGGGAACTAAGGAGAAGCCTTAATCTGGAGGTCCTCTGCTTTGGAACTATCTAAAACTATCTCAGATCTGTAAAAACCTGGAGCACAGAGGGAACCCTCACCTCTTCTTCTGGATTCTAGTCCAACTTTGAGAGATTCACCAGTTCCAGTGAACAAAATCTCGTTTTTGGCAACTTTTTCCGAGCATCAAACCAGTGATTTTGTCCCGCTTCTGTCCGCTTTTGGAGCTCTGACCAAACCCTCCACAGCTCCTTTGCATACAGAGCTCTGGTTGGTCATCCCATCAGGTCATGGCGCCGTCGCTGGGCTTCTTCCTGCCTCTGCTGCTGCTGCTGGGCGTCCAGGCAAAGGCCGGCGGGCTGCAGGGGGACCAGCAGGGGGACCACCAGGGCCTCCAGCCTCCCCTCTCTCCAAGAGTCCAGCTGGAGGACCAGCAGGAGAACCAGCAGGGCCTCCTATCACCCCCTTTTCCCAAAGTCCAGCAGGAGGACCAGCAGGAGGACCAGCTGGGGGACCAACAAGGGGACCAGC